ACTTAAGCAGGCAAACCCAAGTAATTGTACATCTAATCAGAGCTAAGGAACACATGCATGCCTGTTTGGTCGGTCTGAGTGGTCTTGGCTGATTGTCAGAAAAACCTGTCCTTTGAGAATACGGATTAGAGGGGGGCAAGTGCTTGATGAAATGCTCCAGTTGAAGTGAGATACAACACACTGAAATGGCTGAACAAAAAACTGTTTTCCACAGCACAGAAACACTCAAACATGGATGTCTGAGATAGAACTATTCCTTCTATATGATCCTCTCTGAAACTCAGTGATGCAAGGTGACAGATGTAACAGGCCTTAACTGAAGGCTTAACTTCTGTAAATTAAGTTCTAAAAAGATTTCTCAACTGTTTTGCAGTGTCCTGTACTAGTGTACCTTTTTGCTAAAGGAAGCCAGAATGTGGCTGGCTTTCTCATGTACCAGCTAATGTTAGTTTAGTAAATGAAGAGCTGTAATAATTCAGGTGTCCAAGCAGCTCAGATTCAGTCCTGTATGGTGATTTCTGGCCAGCTTTGCTTAAAATAGTCCATATGCTACTTTCAGCCTGTATAGAGATATGAACCTAGTAAGGTCACTTCAAGGTCCTGTTTCTGACTTCTGTAATGTATTATAAACAGTTTAGCTTCATATTCTAACAGCTTAACTTTCCACTGATCTAGGTCAGCCCACACTCACCAACAGGAACGTGGGTATGAATCAGAGGAAGGTAGACTGAAAAAGTGTTTTCCTTTGGAGGAGACTTTCTGGAAATGTTTCCAAGATCTATCTCCATGTACTATAGCCAAGGCTCCAAACTTGTTCAAGGGTCTAATCTGAAACATCACAATGGTCTTTATATTAAGGAGATGGAGTTCTTGCACATGAGCTGATCTGTGGACCATAAATATTCTTAGCCCTGAGAAAGTAAAGTGTATTACAACAAAGATATCCTGTTTTACTGCCCTGAGAGGCTCAGGAGTGCACACATAATTTCTGCAGGTAGATTATATACTGTCATTTGTTGAGCTGTGGTAACTGTCTTATGTCCGAGTCCTTCAGGCCCATTTTAAAAGGTTTTAACGGGGCACTGCAAATTAAACATTTGTAAGTCTCATCTCTTTTGAAATTGCTGATCTACAGTTTAAATTTGGTTCTTGGGAAATAAATTCTTAAATATTTGCCAATGCCTCATGAAACTTAGTGAATCAGTCCAGGATATGAACGAAAGCTATTTACTCCCATAAAAGCAAGTATCTGCTAACTAATGCTGTATGAATCAGAAGAACTGCAAAAGAGACATTAAAAGCAAAAGAACTTTCTATGTGGCCTCCTACAACCTAAGAGTACAAAATAAACTTAATTCATGTCAAAACAATAGCGTAAGAAGTGGATGTATATACAAAATGTTTGGGTTTGACCTTTTTAAATAATAGCATTTAGATGGTATTTTGCTGAGAAGAAATGACCAATTATATGGAGTTTCCTCTGGGAAAATTACATACAACATACATTGCACGTGCAGTTAGGGAACATGTACAATAGTAACAGCCAAGTATTTCTTCTACATTCTATATTTAAAATATCATGTTTGATCCTGGATTTCCTGCAAAATCCCTCACGATGGTAAGATGTCTTTCAAGTGTTGCCAGGGTGTATGCCTCAGGACATGACAGAACACAAGAAGAACTGACAAAACCCATATGGTTCAAACAGGGGCCGAATACTAAGTAGCACTAGTGCTTTTTGGACTGTTGCCCATGAAAGACCCACTGTTTCTACCAGAAATCTAAATCTCTGGAGTTTTGGTAATGTAGCTTTAGAACACTACCAGGTATCTTAAGAATTATTCTGCTGAAAGACAGCAGGAGGAGTACAAAGAACGTGGAGGATCTCTTTCCTTGGTGCTAACTAACTTTCTGTGGCTTGATGAAAAAATATGGATCACAGGAAGGTCTTTTTCACTGACAGGAAGGAAGGTCAGTAGAGAGATGCTAATGTATGATAGCTGCTTCCTTTACCAGATTACAAAAAGGCTTCAAGAAAATATTTTCTAGAACTGTCAAATGAGCTATTTAATTGCTTTACTCAATTCTTCCCACTGGCTTGTTACCAAAACAGCCAACATAATTAGCAAGCAGAAGATACTGCATCTTGAATAAGCTTGTACCAAAAATTTTCTTTTGGAAGTGGGCTGCCTACTCCATTAGCATATACATGCAATCCCATGGGGATATCTGGAAGAGCACCAGTCCCTGCAGCAGGTCTTTTCCCACAGTAGGTGTAGGTGAGGAAAAGTGACCTGCTTGGCTGAAAATTGAAGACTGAGTTAGAGGAAGACTTGCAGTTAAACCACATGGGGGATAAGAACCTGACTGCGTGTTGTGTTTTGTTTTGTTTTTTTAAACTACAAGTGGTTGAACTGAAAGAAGATGAGTATCTTAGTGGCATTTGATATTTTCCATAGTGAAAATGTATTAGCACAAAGCAGGTGCCTAAGAGGAGCTGGATGCCAGAGCTGTGGCTTCTTATTGGACTGTCTGTACCATATCACTGAGTCAAGGAAAAGAATATAACCTGGTCTTCACAAAGGTATTTGTCATTTGAATGGATGCTAGTTTGTGTCGAAGGGCATCGTTTATCAGCCAAGAGGCCTGAGGTAGTTGAGTATCTTATTCTGTGGAGAACTGAAGACATTGTTCTTCGTCTCTGGGACAGAAGTCGTATTACTTTGGGGGTGACTTCCTTTGGGCAACATCTCAAACTTAAAGCCTAGCTGTGCAGTCATGCAACGTGTATTATCTTTCTTTTTCATTCGGGCTATTCCTGGTAATAAGATTCCTGCTTCCTCTGATTTGCCTATTGTCTTCTCTACAGATTGCAAGTTCTTTTGTCTATAAAACCTCAGAAGAAGACGGCAATAGTGCAGCGGAGTCCTGAGCTATAAATACTACACTAAGCCTAAGAAATTATACAGTAGTAGAAATAAAAATAATGTAGTAGGTAATTGCCTTGGGAGTTGGTATTAAAAATACAATCAACCCCTGACATGCTGGGTAAAGCTGATTTCACTCTGATGTTAAGATAGCTTTGCTCCTATTTCAGAGCTGAGTGGTGATGAAATGTAACTTTTCCTGCATGGGTTTTGCTATATGGATGGTGGTGATGGGGTGTGTCAGAAGTGAACATTGATGCAGGTTGTTAGCGTTTCCAATCATGAGCGAACCAAACAATGTATAATGTGACAAGCTATTAAAGCTCCATGTTAAAGAGCCCCCAGCAGTTTCAAAACTTAGTAATTATATCTATGCTAAGAAGATTTTGAGCCAAGCCAAGCCAGTGACTGAGGCAGCTGTATTATTGAAAAGTAAGCTTTATAACAATGAAAAGATTCTCATGTAGTTTAGCAAACAATAAAAATGGGATTAACTATGAAGTTGGTGGGATGGCTTTTTTGAAGCCCTCAACATATTTTCATTGTTTGGCCTCGTGTAATTACAGAACTAGAACCGCAACATTTGAAATTCCATTATTATTGAAACACATTTAATAACAGGGTTTAAACAGCTATCGGCCATCAGCTGGGCCAGAAAATATGACTTCCTTTATAATTAGAAGAAAGTATCATTTGGGTTTAAAACCCTGTTTAAATAAAACTACTATTTGTCACAGAGACCCTTTAAGAAAAGGACAATACTTGATATGTTCTGAAGTATTGATTATTTTGGAGGAAAGGGATAAATAAGGAGAGAAATTTCCTTTCCATTATTTTGAACAGGAATCAATGTTAAATGGAAAAGGCAAAAATCACTTGGGACTTCTAAATTGGGCTATTTTAAAAAAGGAAAAAAAAAAACTCAACAAAAACTGTATTATAAATAAAAAAGCCCCATCCTTTTAAATGGCCTCTTTAAAAAGAGGAAGCACTACATACATTTAAAAGACAAGCTGAATTGAATGTATAAAGGCAAAAATATTCAGAGGTAAGGTCCAGAGGTAAACTGGGCTGAATTCAGCTGAGAAGCTACTGCCTCTGAAAATTACTATAGATCTAGTGATAAATAAGTACAAGAAATAACTCAAAGCTACCAAACTATTGATCACTGGGAAGATACTAAAGTGATAAGTGACCACAGAATAAGAACAGCACCCAAATGCAGAGTTTGTTCTGTATCTTCTACCTTGCATAATGCTTCCAGAGAGAAGAGCTGGAATAGGCTTAGAGAGCTGAGTATGCCTAAAATATCCTTCTAAATTATTCAACACAATCTTACTATGGTTTGGTAGGTGAATCCAGGTTAGATTATAATAAAAGCATGTTCACAGCAGGAGAATAAAGCCAAAGTTTGGTATTTTGGTGCCTCTGGGTAGATTATGTAATTCTAAAAATCATTCTCTCTTCCTGTGTATCTTACATTCTTTATTTGGAACAAAATATGACTAAAAGATGAAAGTCTGTCTATTTGCATGTAACTTTCATACTTAGCTGAAAAAGTCTGTGGAGTATGGATCATATGATAAAGCCATTTTAATTGTTGATATAAGGGAATATATTTTTCATTAAGTACAGTGTGGTATTAAATTTCATTCTGTACTTAGCCATAACAGGAATTCTGTTCCTGCTGCTCTTCAGCTTGTATAATTAAACTGAACAGAAAATGGCATGGACATACACAGACAGCAAAGACAACCTTCTTCACCAAGAGAAGAAACTAATAACAAACCACTGAAAATGAAGCACTGAGTCTTCACTTCAGAAAGATGCAAACTCATATCCCAAAGGATAGTACGGCAAGAAAGCTAATGACATTAGTACATAGTTGAAGTTGCTCTTTCCTTATAATTGAGATGTACTCTTTCCTTAGATCTAAGAACGTTCAGGTGTTGTTGGTTTAAAATAGGTCGTGGCATGAATATCTGAAGTAATTATTACTGTCAGAAAAGTTTAATTCACTTCTTCACGATAAAAGAGCATTTAACTTATGTTGATTGCTTTTTTTCTCTGCTCCCCCCTCCTCCACTTCTGCCAATAGCAAAACTCACAAGTTTTGGTCATGTAGGGATTTCATGGCACCAAAGGATATAAGAAAAATTAAACAGAGTCTTTAAAGATCGTTTGAAGCCAAGTAATAGAAGGGAGGCATTGAGAACAGAGAGCAGATGTCTTCCCTCAAAGAGTCAGTAGATAAGCTCTGAGCCAGCCTGGTCCAAGCATAATCAAGGGAGCTTTGAACTTGACTTTTCTGTATTCCCAGTTTAGCTTACCATATTGGCTTTTTCCTCAACCTGTTGGTTGTCATATTGTTAGCCAGTGTTGAAGCTGTAAGGGAACAGAAGTATTTGTTTAATAACATTATTGATTAAAATTATGATAGTGAGAGATGTTTGAAATACATTAGTTGGCAAATCTAGAGTTACAAAGAGGTTTCAAAGTAACAGATAGATTATAACTAAATTTCTGTGGATTCCAGTTTGCAGTAAGAAAGGTGCTGAACATAAATGCTATTTAGTCAGCTCTCAGTTCAGTTTTAAAATTCAGAACTGCCAAACATATATGAGAAGAAAATTTTTGTACTTGTTTGGTTATGGTAGTCAGTGTTTTGTTTACGAACTTTAACATCATGAACAAATAAGTAAGTACGCTTTAGCAATAACAAGGCTATTCCTAGCTTTTTTTTGAAGACAGCAACAAATTAATACACCCTAGTGTTTGACATGGTATGAGGTATCATTAGGAATATACTTCTGAGTACAATCTTTTCTAATTTAAGTGAAATTCATTTGCTTCATTTTTGCCATTATAGATTTGGGTTCAGAAGACTGGTACTGTGTAGGAATGGCTGTTTATAGCCCATTCACACAGGAACATCTGCCTCTGGAAGAATCAAGTTATTACGTACAGCTGGAACGTTAAATCTTCAGACAACTGAGGGCAGGAATAGGGGAAAGAGAAGGCAGGAAGAGGTGCTGTGCTACTACATATTCTTCACCACATCAAATAAGTTGTGGTCATTAAACAGGAAGCCTTTTCTTCCTGCTTCCACTCTGCATCCCATAAATCTACGCTTGGATTGTTTCCTTTAAAATTCAAAATTATACTTCAAACAGTATTTTTCAGAGTAAGCAAAAGGCAAATTTCTTTTTTCAATACCAACATACAAACCACTGCTATAAAATCTGGGTCATGTTTTGAGATGATGCGCATAATTCTAGTTGCTTTCAACTTTGAAGACAGAATGTGGTCCAGCATGAATGCTGATAAGTGTAACAAGCTTCATATTTGCATCCTTTTTATCTTCTACAAAAAGGACTTAATTTCAATAAGCTCATTTTATTTGCTAAAAGGAAAGCAGTGTTTGGAATCCTATAGCACATTTTTCATGGCTGCTTAAGAAGTCTCCAGCAGTGTTTTCAATCAACCGTAGGCCTGTGGGGAAAGCCTATTCCACATAACCTAGCACATTATTTCATCATGGCCATTATGTCTAAGCTCTGACAATGGGTATTTGTTTCGCTGTTTACCATGTGTTGTGGTACGTAATTGGAGTTTAGGAAACATGACTTCAGATCGCTGTGCAGTAACTGAGGCTATGACCTGTTCAAATGCACTTGATAGTCTGGAAATACCTTCATCTCTTGGTGAGATCTTACTATATTCAGATACAACCTAAAATACTGGATTCAAGTGATCCGTAAAATTGTGGGTTCTGTTTAGTTGAGGAAGGAAGGTGCCAAAAGCCTTCCAACAGAGTTGATGTGTATGGCACTGAGCCTTCTGCATCCTGTCATGCTGGCAGAAAAAAAGAACCACAGACCTGCAAAGGTATCCACTATGAGGAGATAGGTGCAAACCTGTAGTTGTTGCTACGGACAGGAAAGGGTTAGTATCAGGAGAGGAAGCATGGTGAAAGGAGTACAAACCTTAAACTGCCTGACATTTCCTTGGGCCACGAGTTGGTGCTCATTTTCAGGTGTGATGCAGTAAGCTAGTCTCTAAACCAGATGGGAAGAAGAGGAAAAAGTCAGCCATATGAAGTGGGATTATGTCTGTAATCCCCAATCTATAACGGGGAAGTAGCATGAACTTTATTTAAAACGGTAACTTAAATCTTTAATATCACTGCATCATGTGCCTTTACCTTAGTCACTGAGAGAACAAGCTTGTTATAAGCCCCTTGGTATTAGCATTTAATATAAGAAGCAACAGTAGAAAGTTTATGCAAATACTGAGTCCAAATATTTAGCAAGTGCATATGGAAAAGAACATCAGGAACAAGTTGGCATCACAGGCCTTAGATCCCCTAAATTCACACTTTTCTGTCAGTGCTGTAATGAGGTTGACTAGTCCCAGTGGGAGAGGAAGGAGGTACTGACTATTTCCCAGCTCATGTCCCTTGTTTACCCTATGCTGTGCCATTTGGGATCACATGTAGATTTTTGTTTATCACGAACTTTCAATCAACTTAAGGAGTTCCCATTAAACTAAGAGCATACCTTTCCCCATACTTTTAAGAGCCACAATTTAGGGCATCATACTTTATGATAGTTATTTGGATCTAATATACTAGCCTTTTGCTATATTTCTCATGGGGAGACTGAAGAGTTGCTGTCCGCCAGAGCTGTAAAAGACACAAACTATAACTTGCTAACACTACAAAATGAATGAGCAAATGTGGGTTTTGGCCAAAGGCTTCTGTGTCCCGGTATCAGCAAACTTGTGCAAGCTGGCAAAAGCCTGTTGGGCCAGTACAAGTTATTCTTTGACACTTAGATGCTACTAGTTTGTAACCCCCCAGGAATGGAACAAATCAAAGGGCTTACAGAATTGCTGGAAATGAGAGCTAGAAATTGTGCACAACATTGAGATGTTGGAGCTGACGAAAACGGTGCGGGTGAAGAGGAGTTCACACTTTGGGGTGCCTTTTTGAGATGAACATTAAGTGAGGTGACTAATGTTTCAGAAACAAGGCATTTATCCTTTTGGGCCTGCCTGGTTAATGTGAGGGGAACGTGCCCTGTGTAGGTAAAGGGCGAGACCCTATTTTCTGCTTAATTCTCTGTGTTGGTGGTTCAGTGATTTGCCTAAGAGCGTCAATATCTTGCTACACCATTGTGTAACTCTAGCTGTGGGAAAGGAGAGCAATACAACTCTAGGTGCAAGTCAGTCTGGATTAGGTTATATAACTATGACATGTGACAGGACAAAAATTGATGCTGTGTAGTGGTGAGGAGTCTTACTTCTGAGAACCATTAGAGGTTTTAAGACTATAGATAATTTACTATGACAGTGATAGTAAAATTAATGTAATGTTAGAATTAATATGATAGTGAGCCTTAATCCTATGCTGCCACTTTGAACTGATAAATAAAGAAAAGTACAGGGGGGGAGAATGTAAGGAAATATGGATGCATTTTTTTTTCCCATAGAAACAGGTTTTTTAAAATAGAATTAATATATTAATATTACACAAACATATAAACAAAGTTAAAAGAACACTGTTAAGGTTGCAATGTTAAACTTCTTGCTGTTAGGCAAATCATTAGAATAGAATCATAGAATCGTTTAGGTTGGAAAAGACCTTTAAGATCATCCAGTCAGTAAGATGTTCACAAATTGTTTCTCCCTCAGGTTCTGCTTTATTCAGTGCACAAACCAGGCATATTATGCATGAAGTGGGTTTATGTAGTGCGGAATGCTTTTACTGAAGCAGTTAAAAAGCACAGGCTAGATGAGACCATAAGTGGTGCCTATATCAGAATTGTTTCTGGATTTCCAGATCTATTTCAGCACCTTGGTCTATTAAGTTTCTTCAAGCATTGTGATATTAGTGATGAACACAATAGAAAGAGCTGCATTAATTCTAGCCTTGGCAGAATGTTGAAATAATTCCAGTAAATAGAGGATAAGGATGCATATTTGACAGAAAATCAAATACAAAGTGGCTGCTGTTGAAGACAGAATACTGGGCTAAATGGAGCTATTGCTGTGACCCAGTAAAGTATTTCTTCTGTCCTTTCTGGATGCTCATTAAATGAACAAAGGCTGTCCTGAACACAGGGCTACTTTGGGGGCACATCTCACCCTCCCAGTATGTGGATATGTGTTTAGAGACTCTTATAATGCTAGGATAGAAAAGGTCTGAATTAACTTTGTACAAATAACAGTTTACAGCACTCCAGTACAGAGTGATAAAACATACCTTGAACTGAACTCTGTTTAGGTAGAGCTGTGTGAAGACCATAACTCAGAGCTGAATATGGAGATACCATAATTTGTATATTTGTTTGTTAATAAGGAAAAAAATTATCTCATCAGTTGGATTAATTACATGCATCAAAAATAATATTTCAGAATTATCATGGTGCTTTCTGGAAAGCTAATTTCTATGTAGAAACTCAAACAGCATGCAGTAATCCTACCTCCAAACTCCAATCCATCCAATGGTTGGATCCAAAAGGTCACTCATAAGTAATAAGTTTTGGGAGTAACAGAAACAAACTGCCAACCTAGATCCAGCCATTTAATTTCATAGCAACATTTCATGACATTTTATTAGTGTTCCACTTACTTCTTTAAAGGTCCCACGCACATTCATAAATTTATAGATAATGTAGGCAGGCACAAGTATCATTGAAGATAATGCTATTCCCCAGCCAATGCGATTTGCCCAGAGAGGGAAGGTGTAGTCATCGTAGGTCAGAGGTTTGAAATTTATTATGCTGACTATCACGACAAACTAGGGAAGAAAGAATAAAATTAACCACAGTTTTGAGATGAAGAAACTTAGTGGAAAAACTTAGTGGAAACTTAGTGGAAAACCAGTTTCATGTGTTTTATAGGCAGCCACTCTAAGGTATATTTCAACCCAGCTTTACCGATTACATTCATCCTATTTACTTTGTGCCTCTTACTGCTTAAACTGTTGAAGTTCTTGATGCATTTACTAGTATTAACGGTTTATTTAGCTACTCTGGATACAGATTATTTGATACTTTGGCGGGAAGATCAAGTTGTCGTCTGCTACTGCCTCATTTAAACTAATGTTACAAATACCAAAATGGATTCTGTAGTCAAGAAAAACCTCTGCAGGATCTATTGTTTTTCCCTTCTTTGTTTCCCAGAGGCATTAGGCTTCATTTAGATGTTTTGTACCCATTTTTCAATGAGAGGTATGATGCAAACTCTAGCATGATACATTTACTGAGGAAAGGTCAGCAGCCTTACGGCCTGGAAAACAAAGTTGTGGTTTTTTGGTTTTGTTTTTTTTTTTCTCCTGCTGTGTTACCCTGTCCAGTACTAGGTGCAAGAAGGGAAGAGTGGGGCACCACCCTATTTCCCTCCTGTTAAATCCATATGGATTGTGTAATATGCAGAGTTCCTTGATTTGGTTCTCTGGGCCTATACATTCTGCCCCATATATCAATTTCAAATTAGAGTATTTTGAGCCTAGGGTTTCAAAGGCTACAGAAGGAGAGTAATGGTGTGGGTTAAAGGAAGATGATAGTGTGAAATCCAGTTAGAAAAATACTAATTCCATTTGGAGATTTTTCTTCGGATGATGTACATAGCTGCAGACAGTATGGAGAAGAAGCTTCAAGGAGCTATTTCCTAATACCAGATACCTGGCCAACCCCAACTTACCTTTATCTTATAGAGACTTGTATTTATCATTAGGAAGTGCTGTAATACAATACTAGTCCCAAACAGGGGCCACCTTGCACTGAGCACACAAGGGATTGTTAGAGCAAGAATTATACTGAAGTCTGACAATTTTATAGCCTTTTCTAAATTATCCCAAACTATATATATATCAAAGAAACTATATCTGGTGGGGTTGTTTGGGGTGTGGGTTTTTTTGTTTTTTTTTTTTTTTTAAATTAGATTCACTATGCTTATGGTCTCAGTCTCGTCTGGTGAGGCAGTTTGTATGCGTCATACAGGTGGTATAAAAATGCTGTTTCTTAGATCACAAATTTCTAGAATTTGTAGTTTTAAATTATGTAGGCTAATGGTGGACTACCTTTTTCATGCTAGTGACCATCTGTATAGTTTTCGCTTATAACTTACTAAGTTAAACCATTTTGGTCAATTTGATGCAATATGCTTTATTTTATTAATGTATTGAATAATGAACCCAATAGATAGGTTGTAAGAAAGTAAACTGTATTTACTTTTCCCCTATAAATCAAGATTGTAATGTCCATGTTGCCTTTTAGAAAATTGAGAAAATGTATAGCTGTAACAAAACTGCCCAATGTCCCCTATCCAGTGTGATATCATTCCCATGGGTTTTAAAATATATTGGTACCCAGTAATTAAGTTGATATGTTCCAAGTTGAGCACTTCCAGCTGGAAAAAAATCTGTGCATTGTGATGGCTGAAAGATGCATTACCTACTCATTCTGACCCTTATGTTTCTAGGCTTCGGTAGGAAGGTATTGGGGCTATTTCACCAAGAAGTTTTAAGCTTCCTGAAGGTTAGACAGATAATCACTTCAGCTTTCTTGAGCTAGCTTGCTAGAACTCTGCTTTGTAAAATCTAAATTTTCAGCAGTCTCCTAAAGTGCAAAACCTAAGGATGCTTGGTGCAGCATTTTTTGTTCTGTTTGAGTCAGCCTGCTTGAAGTGCTGCAGGATATAGTTCCATACAAGCTTCTTATAGAACAGTGTTTAAAAGGATAATTAATACATGTTTGGTAGGCGCTTACCGATAAATCGGGGCCAGAAACTTTTATATATAAGTAAAAAAAAAAAAAAAAAAAGTGGACCTGAGAGCTGTCATAAAAGCCTACCCAGTGTGTCTTTGGAATACCAGTACTGCTTTAAGAATGCACAGCTTTAACGCAATTAATAGTCTCCTAAAATCATAGCGAGGTCATATTTCCAAATTATTAATCCCGACCTTTTGATTTACTAATATGCATAGGAAAAGATCCCAATATAAAAGTGTAGTTTAGTTCTGAACCTATCCTTTACGCAAAGCAACCAAATTCACACTCTGGGATTTTTTTTCCCCAAATGTAATGAAGCACTTGTTTTTCACATCAAGCAGCTTACAAGGTATATTTAATACATCCCTTCAGTGTTTTGCATAGCTAATTACTAGGTGTAGTTGCATATTAGCTATTCTAAGGTGTCATTCCACAATTCATGGATCTTGATATCCTCCAATGAAAAATAAATTCTTGCTAACACAATCTCTTATCCCTGGTTAGTTTATTTTTGCAACAGAATGATTTATATTTAATACACATAAATGCTGGGGGGACAGGGAGGGTACTGCCTAAGTGTTCAGTGTTCCCTAAGAAAAGCTGCTTTCTTTAAATCCTGCTAGAGTGAAGGAAGAGAAGATGACCATAGCCACAATTAGCTTCTCTTTCACAACTGAAGTATATTATACAAAATATATCCAATGCCACTGAGGAGAAAAAAAGAATTGTATTGGAGTGTCTTCTATTTATCCTGACAACATCAGGCATAGCAATGAGTATTTTGCTCTCGGTACCTACTGTGTATTCTAGGGAGCAACATACTAGCATTCTTTACATGATGAAATAATTATCAACACTTACCAATAAAAAAGCAGGGCTAACAAATTTCCAGCACAGTCTCCAGTAGAGGCCTGGCTTGAAGCCCATCATTTGTTGGATGTCTTCACTGAATCTGTCCACACCTGGAAGGGATGTGAACATCAGACTGGTGTAAATCTAAACTGATGAGATGCTGGCATACCCCAAAACATCTGCTTTTTCAGAAGGCAGATAGTAACGACTTCCAAATCATAAGACATACAACAACATTCATCTCTTTTCAAAGACTAGATGTGTCTTTGATGTCACTGTATCCAAGACTTAAACGCCTGTGAGCACTTCAGGTCTGTTGCAAATAGCATTACCATTGAAAATGGCATTTCACATATATCTAGAATTTAAGTTGTGAATGGGGAAAACATTATTTTAATAGTTGTGGACTACTGTAACCTAATTACTCAATGCTATTATGAGTACACTGAAGGAGAACCCAGACCGTTACTCACACACAAACTGCTTACTGATAATGAGGTAGATTCATATGATTCTTAATTTATCGAAGGAAACTTATTTGTTCCACTTAATGGCATACTTTACTTACCTTTCAGTGTTTCACTAAATACCACAGAATGTTCATTATATCTATGACAACTGTAATTTCATCTGTTATCACCCTTCCAAGGAACTGGGTAGATGCTTTTTCTGTTCAGTGTAAGTATGTCCAGAACTACATTAGCTAGGAACAGGTGGTCTTTAAAGTATCCTGTGTGTTTTTGAAAAACATAATACCAGCTAGAATTTATAAAATGGTTACCTCTTTATGCATCTAATATCTAATAATGTAGCTGTTGTAGATACCTTAGAAGATACATGATCTGTTTATGTGAGTAAAAACCAAGAGTAGTCAGAAATTTTACCTGCTGCAGTAATTAAGACAGCAGAGGATAACATGAAAACCATTAAATGAAGACATAGATCAAAGATAAGTCCTGCTAATTGTGCCAGGAATATAGAGTATGGGTTTAGAAACATATGGATGGCTTGATTGCTTGATTATTATCAAAACCTTGATAGTAACATACAATATTTCAGTATAAGACTTGGTATATTAGCATGCAAGAAATAATGTACAAGATTTCTATTGTCAGGAAAACTATATAACAGTATTCCATTCAAAATCACTCAAAGGTTAGCTATTTGCAGTGGGATTCACTCCACTGCAGTGTAGAGAAATGGAGGCACCAGAACAAAGTGTTTTGTAAGTGACATAATGGCCAGAGCAGAGAAGAGCTGCAAATACCCCGTTCTCAGTCTGTAATATTCCTTGAATCCATCTAGTCTGAGATTTTGTATGTGTGTGTTGATACATGTGTGTGTTTAATACTTACGTCAGTTGAAGTACTAATAGCTCTAAAACCAGTGTAAATAGCTGCAGTAGAAATCCCTTCCTACAGCCATTGCAGAAAGGAAGATCATCTGCCCTTGTTGACTCCCCTTCAGAAACACTATCTAGACAGTGACTTCAAAATCAGATAGGCCATGCTACACAGACCAAGGTGAAACTAAAAAAATCTGCTGCCCTGAGTTCCTCAGGACACACCAAATTCTGTAACAGTGAATAAGGAAGAAATGGCATTTCAGTCAGTGCCTTTTAATTCCTTATGGGTTTTACACATTTAAGTAGGTCTTATGAATTCTGTGTCTGAATACCTTAGGAAGGACTGCACAAGTATAATGTGCTTTCTGTGAGTGGCACTAGCCTGATCTAGCTAAGCATTTTGAGTAGTCTACAAGGGTATGAAGCTGTCTCTATGTGAGAAAGCTATTTTTTTACTCTAGTAATACTAATTCATGTTAACTCACATGCTGTGGACTTCCTGGAAGTACTCTAGTCTTCAGTGGGACATTTTCCATCTTCAGTGTTTACTGAAACACTTTTTTGCATTAAGTAATTTACTGTCATTTTCTATGCAAAGCAAATATGCATTTTATAGTGACTGTAAAATGTCCATTTGAACGGCAGCTTCTTCCCAGTTTTTCTTACCAATTCTATTCTGGTTGGATTTACCAGTATAAGGTATCTTGCAAAAGTTTAATCTAAGGCCATGCTATTTTCCACACTGTATTTTAGAATGGAATGATTATCACTGATATAAAAATGGGGAAAAAATGTCATTCTCAGTTTTCTTTAAAAAGAAAACAATCTCTGACTTTACGCTTCAGAGACATCAGCTCACAGAGAAGTGGTTCTCTCTAGTACAATCTGCTGTGTCAAACTACTGGTCTGCAATTTATTATACTCGACGTGTTCAGGAAGTTTACTTTCAATCCTGAACCCTATTAGGTAAAAAGCAGAAATGCAGCATTTTGCCATGCATATTTGTTCGTTAAAGAGGATGTATAGTTTACGATAATAATTGTTTCTCTACACGTGGATAAGTTCAGTTCAGTAGGATTTATTTAATGTATTTAATGTAAATAATTAGGACAGCTTGAGTTAGTTCGTCACACACAGCCAGGTTGCAATGTATTTACAAGGTCTGGACATTTGAGTGTAAACTTCTCTTTGATTTCCACCTCCCCTCTCCCTCCCCCACCCCTCCCCCCCAATATTATGTACAGGTGAAGCAAAGTAGCCAAAAGGATCTGCAAATGCTCTTTAAATTTAATCTAATTCTATTTGCAGTGCCTTCTGTGAACTTTAAAGTGACTGAATTTCAACTGCAATGAATACTGAGTGAAATTTATCATTGTGCAGAAGGTCAAAGACAAGGACTAGGTATCTCCAAAAATGTAATTCATAGGTTTCCAGAGAGATGTACCCAGAGCTCAAATAGTGCTACGTATTCAGTTTCTAAATGGGGGATAAGTAGTCCATGCTGTCAGACTGCTTTTTCAACAGCATGGTTTTCAATACTATATGTCTTCAAATAACCGTTCTGCGAACCAACCTGTAAAGTACAACATAGCTATAGCTACAGATGATGGTACCTGTAGGGCTTGTTTTTTTCCAGTTCTTGAAAGCATTTACCCTTTTTTTTTTTTTTGTGATCCTGTAGTATAAACTGAAACTGTGGGTTACTTGTTTAGTTACAGGAAGGAACAAAACTCTAGATTACTTGCTGGAGACCTGGTGTTGAATATGGAAGTCATAGAATCATAGAATGCTTTGGGCTGGAAGGGACCTTTAGAGGTCATCTGACCTAGACACTTCTTTAAGTTGCCTAAAGAAGGCTTCTTCCACTTCCTGACCCTGATCAGGTGCTCTGTAACAACATTCCCCACAATGTCACCCTTGCTGGCCTCTGCCCTGACCCACAAGCACTCAGCCATCCTGTCATCCATTCACTACATTTCAGTTGCTCTTCTGCATATAAAGATGACACCTGCCCCCTGCTTCTGTCCTAACAAGCATGTATGTATCAAACGTAGAACCCCAGTCATACAAGCACTTGTCCAGGAGAAGATGAGGAAAGACACTGGTTTTTTACGCACTTCAGCAATTGTTGGCATTGGGAACATGAGAAAGAAGGATAAAAAGAATATAAAAGCCATTGTGTGGCATTCATTTGCAAATCCTACAGAGCACAGAACAAGTTATCTGTTGATCAGCCGTGTAGTGAGGTAACAACAACTGCCCCTTTTTGTTCCTGACTCTCCTTTCTAACTCTGGAGCAATATTGATACTCATTGGTGGCGACCCTCACCTGGTGGCAGTAAGGGAGTAAGCCATACCAGTACCATTCCTAAAGAAGGGCAGCTGTGCTAGTGTAAAAGCAAGCAGAACAGTAGGAAACCTTTCCCCACTATGGTGGTGCAGTAAGCTCTCCAAGTTGGTTTGCCCCATTTGTATTTCCATTCTATGGAAACGTGTGCATTCATACTTCATCTCTTATGCCAGGCACACATCCATGCAAAAGCATCTGTGAGCAAAGATGAGTTCCAGCAGTCAGTACTTGGTTAACTTCTTTCCCTTTTGCAAAATCAAAGTCAACCTTAGATTTTTTCAAATAAATGCACCTTTTAGTCTGAAATTGAGCCTAAGGGATCTTTTTTGGAAATGATTTAAGTAAATGAAAGCAATGAGATTACAGGTGAGGATGAAGATCATTGCTAGCTCATACTGAGCTTATTCTAGTCATTCAGGGAGATGTTCACATTAAAATCTGACCTAGTAGAGTTTTTCCTGCAGGTGAAACTGAAGAGCACTTCTGTGTCAGTGGGAGAGGTGTCTGTCTTTTCTTAGAATATTCATCAGAGGGATGATACCAGGGTTGCACAAGAAGAAAAATGGTAACAAGCTAGCAGTCATAACTAAAATACATTGGCATAGTAAACCAAACTAGCTTTCCCTTGTCTTACACATACAGTTGGCCTTTGCAAGAAGAAACTTCACAGTCAGTGGTCACAGGTATAATTTGAACTAAATTTCCACCTTTTTGGTCTGTGCCAAAATGTCAGTGCTTGCCTTCAGGCTGCCTTAATATTCAGCTGGGTCATTAAGGCAACTGGGGTCTATCAGAAAAAAGAGGTAGACAAGACCATGCCAGATTCAATCAGTTTAAATAGCACCCGAGGCTGTGATAAGTTCTTTATAAAGCAACAGGTCATGCTGTGTCAGTAAAAACATGTCAGCTGCTTAAGACAAGTGAGTAGATATTTTCCCAGTTATAGGGAGGCAGGAGGGAGAAAGAAAAGGATGATAAAGGACAGAAGGTGCAACAAATAAACAAAATTTGACTAACCTTGGCTTAGTCTGTGAACCACATGCAAAGCCTAGCTATTGTAAAGTGCAGTAAATCCTGTTTTAATAGCAGCAGATAATAACTTGCCCTTACTAACTGAAGAATATTTTTATGCCTCTGTTTCCAAGCTAAGCTATGATCACTCTTTCTGCATTCAGCTTTTTTACAGGGATTAAAGACAGTTGTCTGTGAAATCTAGTGCCTCCACTATTTTGAGAGAGAAGAGCATATGAGCTGCTAGCTCCATGCTGCTGTTGGGTGACAGAATTAGTACATTGAAGCTAAAAACTATTTCTTTAGTAGATTGAACAGCTTTATGCATGAATGCCATTCTTTCACCTCATTCACTCATCAACAGTTTTTAACTGCAAGTGAGAGTTTGTTTGACTAGAAGAATATGGTGGCACAGCATGGATAGATAAGTAAGTGACTGAGGGAAGTAAATGGCAGTAAGAATGATAATGTCTAAGAACCTTCTGAATCATACGTTAACTATAAACTCTATCTCTCAATAGAAATGAAGATGACTTTCAGGGGAAGAACAACCTTATTGGGAGTCAGGGCAGCTAGTTCAATACAGACTTCAATGGGAAGAAGATTTGCAGGCTGCTATGACATTGAAACCTGGTGATAATGAAAAGTTGTGACCAACCAGAAAGTATGACATGAGAATTAGCAGATGAGGAAGAAAAACAAGAGCTCAAGAAACTTGATTAATCTAGCAGCAAGCAATTTCAGATATAACTGACAGTTTGGACTATTGCAGTGAGATGACTTATGTAAAACCTAAGGTGCGGAATCCTCTTGCTTTACTTGGAGAAAATAAGATATTTGGGGGGGTGTCCTTGTGATTTTACTCACCCTGTTTGTGACAAGATAAAGAACTGATAGCATTCTCCCCAAAACAAAGGAAAAATCACTTTTGCTGTTCTTTAGCAAGATATGCCAAATTCAGATTAAACTATGACCTGGGGTGTTTTCTGCTTGATTTGGTAATTTAACAGCACTTGGTAATTTCCACTTTTCCCAAGGTGGCATATTTTCCAGTGAATAAGCTTGAGGCTATGAATTGCCCTACCTTCCTATATATGATAGAAGAAATTTTGAACTCTGGGTCAGTGCTAGAACATAAAAAGTACTCCTCTAGGGTGGGGGCATAGGGGAAAAGGGAGGTGTTTGAAACACTGACTTCAGATATTTAAAAACGCCTCATCTATTAAATGCTGAATTAGGGATGGGGAGAACACCCACAGACCAGACACTTTCTCATAACTTTATAATCTGAGGCTTAGCAGGCTATATATATAATCAAATATTTCTACTGTAAGCAATATTCAGTTTAACCTTTTTGTTTCACTTGAGAATAGTAGTAGTCAACTTCATCACTTACAGCAGAGGATTGGGTTTTTTCCTTGGTGAAATTAGACAATGCAGGATACTTTACAAGACTGTGAAGTTCCTGGAGGCTAAGGACTGAGCTCAGGCAGACTCAGTGTCCTGCTATGTTGCCAAAGTCAGAGTTGTGGTGGAAAGCACAACTCCAATTTGTTGGGTTTTTCCCAGTTAAGTTTATCCAAGTGCATTCATACAGGTTTAGAGCAATGAATGTGGCTGTTTGTCATCATTGTGGTAATTTATACAGTGGGAAAGAAAAAAATGTTTTTCTTCTTTCTTATGAAACCTATCTATCAAGTGTCTTGCTTGTTATTTATGTTAGTTTAGGGAGGAGAAAAATATTAAAGACCAAATAAGGCCAGGGATGTTATTTAATAAGCTGGGCACATCTTCTGAGACCGGACGTAAATTGTGAACCATATTTTTTTCAGGGTACTGTAGCCCATCACTTCACTCTGGTTGGCAAAGAGTGATTCCAGCCTAGTGCCAGAGATAACTGAATACTCTTAAAGCCTGCCATATTGAGGATAAAGTAAATTACTGCACCCTTTTTGTGGCATAAATTAGTATGAAATACTAGAAATAGTATTATTTCTGGTATCTAGGATGTTGGGTACTCCATACCATGCTATGAAATAAGACCAATTTTAAACCACTAGTGTTTTATAATGAAGTAGACTATTGTCTCAAACAAAAGGGTCTAATGTAGGAATTATAACTCCCTAAAGACAAACTACCTTTGTTTGTATTGCAAGGTGGGGAGCTTGAGGTTGTCCCTGGGTTAATCATGGAAAGGAGGAACAGGTGAGCCTGTATTTAGGCTAATCTACTTGCTTTGAAACTACCAGGTATAAACCTGCTACTGCAAGTCATCAGCTATGTTAACAGCTGCAAAATACTGGCAAAAGTAGCAACATTGCCATCCCACTGCAGCCTCCTTCACAAGGCAGTTTTCTTTGGCTTCGTGCAGGGTTTCAAAGTTTGGCCCACTGAACGTCTGCATTCCTGTCACTATCCATAAATCAGACAAAAATCACTGTATGAAACCTGGCTTGTTGTGGTTTCATGTGCACAAGGCTGTGCTGTTTTCCCTTAAAACAATGTGTAAGCCTGTTATGAGTGCTTGGAATTTTAGAAAACATTTTGCAGGTGCAAAATGAAATGCTTACCATAAAACCAGGAAACTCCAATTGCCTCCATTAGAACAGCAAACAGTATTGAAGTCCCAGCTGCAAATGTGTCCAGGAGTGTAAGCACATAAATTCCACCCTAGGATTGGGGAGTTAAAAGGTGCAACAAAGCAAAGTTACAAATAGAACCATCTCAGTAGTTTAGTATCTAGTTAACAGAAATCTGCTTTGCTTTAAATGTTATCTTAACCCAAGTATTTTAATTTGGAGCTGATGCTGCAGATGCGGGTTCATATTTGCATACAAAATAGTGGAATCAGACTTGCAACTCTTTAAATGAAAGAGCCTTCTTTTCACCTATGTTCTCACCGAACTGGGAAACATGCCTCAGCTTAGCATAATTAATGAGTGCTCTTGGCACTCTGTTTTCAGTAGAAGTTGAAGGCTGTTTGGGGGAATGCTCAGCAGCTTGTAGGACAGGGCCTGTTTACAGCAGCTAATGAAGATCTTCCTAAATTATTGGCAGGAATGGAGTGCTACAAGAATTTCCACAAGCCATTATCCCTCAGGTTGTTCCTAAGGCCAATTATTCTGTAGTGCAGTGAACCTGCAGCCTTAGACTGGTGTCTCCCTTTTCCCAGAGTGCCTGCATCTCCCTTTTCCAATGTTCCTGCAAAGGGAGCATTTGCATGTTAAGTCTCTGTTACCAGCCCAGCGTAGAAGCAGCTTTGCCCTCTTGAGTTTCTTTGCTGTGGTATCAGGAAGCCTTTGCTCAGTGGACAGAGCAAACCAGATCATCTTCCTTCACAAAAGCACATTTCTGTCCTTCAGTGGTTCATGACTGAGAACTGTAAATGTATTTACTAAAGTCTTGCTTCACTGGTATTTTTTTTTAGTGGCAATTTGAGTGCTTTTTGCCTCATTTTACAATGTGGTATGAATTTGTGTAAATTACTGCTCAGGTTTATTTAGATTGGGCTAATGAGGAATGGAAGACCATGGTATGTTTACTTGTTTCAAAATGAACCTGAATAATGTATTTCAGGACATTCTTTGTCACATGTAAACAACTGAAATGTTTGCAGTTGCAGTGGATTTTTGTTAAAATCTTTTTTTACAAACAAACTTAATCTGACTATGCCTATTCAGAAGGGGAGGAACAAAGGAATTATTTTGCATGTTTTTACCAATGGTATAAATAGCATTTGTACTATTTACATCTCTGGGTGATTTTAATCTCTGCAATCAATCCATTTTCTTTTTTCTTATAAAAAGAAGGTTTTCTGAAACAGCTGTTCACATCTACAAAAATAGAGAGAATAGTACTTAGGCCTTGTCTAGATTTTTAATTCTGTGGGGACTTGTCCAGAAACTGAATGAACTTTGGTTGTTGTGTTAGAAAGAAAATGTTGCTTATTGAATGACATTTGAGTTTGACCTCTTGTTTTTGCTCTACACCTGCTCTGAATGAATGCCTTTGCTATCAAACTTAGTAAAGTGAATGACAAATGTGGTTTTGTAAGAAACATGTTTTGAAAATACAGCCTTAAAATTTCAGAGGACAAAATCAAACAGATTAATTTAATGTGATGGTATCAAAAGGATTTTTTTGTGTGTTTTGTACACAATAGAAATGTTCTTTTTCAGTTATGTGAACCAATACATTTGGATGAATCTGGGCAGATTTGTGCCTTCCAGCTGGTGGGGTGGACTTAAGTCTAAACAGGTGCTAGGTTGTTATCTTGAACTGCTTTATCTCACTTGAAGGCAGTGGAATTGCACCCATTGGCACCTGTTCAGGTTCTTAATTACCACCGAGTTTGTTCGGATCTTGAACTTCAGGAAATTTTATTCCAGTTGAAGTTTTGAATAAGGAAGGAGCATGTTCAATTCTTTAGGTAACAATGGAGAGAGCATGGTATTAAAAGGATAGGTATTTTAAATGATACATCTATTTCTAGCGTCTCAAGTGTTTTCCAGTTTGAGAAAACTAAAGTAAAAATATTGGGGTATTCTTTTAGTGTAAAAGGATTGTTGATAAACTTATGCCATTTCGGTAATCTTAATAATAGATCTGGAAACCATTGCTAGGGAAGGAGAGACGTTCAGCACATCTACTTGCATGGTGGCTACCTCAAGTTTCAGTTGTTTTCTGACACTTCGGCATCTTTGCTTACAGGGCATTTTCAGAAAGGAAAGTTCTGTCCAACCTAGAAGACTGTGATTCTCATCCTTTAAGTAATTGTCAAAAGCCTGGTGAGGCAAATCATTCAGGATGATGGTAGTGATAAACACAGGTTACTAGATGTTCAGAATAAGTTATCTGTGTGCTTTTTATGGTGTTAAGAGTAAGAGATAAGATCTAGGTGCATGAAGGAACATTAAGAAACACATTGGGGAGAGGAGATCATTATTCTCAACTCCTTTCACAAGAAGTGAATGCTGCTTATTTGCTTCGAGAGGAGAAGAGCCAGATGACTAAAGGTCTGGTCTCTTGAAATCCTTAGTTCCTCACACAGGAATAAGCACTCAACACAGTTCCACTTAATGTGATTTAAAAAAACCCAAACAAGCACACAAAACCAAACAAAACCAACAGTAGCACAGACAGTTCTTTGGAACAAAAACTTGTAGGTTCGGTTCATAGCTAATGATCTTGTGCAAAAAAAGCAGAGAAGCTTCATGTAGAGAAGACCAAAAGCAATGTTCTGACTATAAAGTTGTTTAAGAATTAAAATTTATAACAAAAGCAGTCAACTGAGCCTATTCATATTTCTATCTGATGAGATTAACTGTGTCTTTAAGGTAGCTTGTTGATGGAAACTTTTGTTGTACTTACATTGGTGATGCAAAAAAGGGCAAGCAGGAAGGTGCCAAAAGAAACACCAAAGGTGAAGAGCTTTCTATGCTGCTTCAGAATTTGGAAATCATCTGCCAAGCCAGTGATGACAGCCTCCATTCCGCCCATCTGAGGAAGGGAAGGCAAGAGCTCTGGTTAAATGGTACTGACTGTTCTAAGTACAGATTGAAGAATGTAAAGCAGCCTGTGTAATTAATTCCCAACCACTGTATGATTTCTGACATTTCAGCTGTAAATCACTGGCGTTCTGAGGTATAATTTATTTTCTCGTGGTAGATAACTGAGTCAGAGAACTGGACATCAAGTGCCATGGTTGGTGGCTCAATAGCCATATCCTCTACGGATCCTTTGCTCTCACCACAATAGTAAGTAGACAGTACTTTGGGAAAAATAATATACATTTTAATATACTTTAGGGAAAAAGCTGGTAGCTTAATTAACCAAACTCCTTAAGAGATTTCTAATATAAGGACAGACACAACAAGCACCTAGGGGAAATGTACTGAACAAAGGTTCAGCTGAGCTATTGATTAACTAAATCCAGTTTGACAAAAATCTTTACAGACCTGGAAGAATCACTACATAGGAAGCTTGATGTAATTGTTTTTTGTTGATGACATGAAAGAATTTTACTTTTTTTTCTAGAAGTTAATGCTGAACAGTAGCCATTGTTTTGCAATATAGGAAAGGTACTTTCCAAGTTTTCATTGAAACTGCTGGGTTATGTATGTTTATGTAGGTTGTTATAAATTTTAATTTATTTCCACCACTGAAAGCTCCCATCCCCCCCCCCCCCCCCCAAATTGTGAAAATTAATTCCAGTCTCCTGTCATAATAAATGTATTTAATGTTTTGGGAAGGCTGGATTCCATGCTTTTTCTGATGCTGAAAGATCATGGCAAGACCTGAAGTGCTTGGTGCAATACAATAGCTAGTTAACATGTGCTGACATAGCCTTTCCCTTCCCTATAAGAATTTGATGAAACCAACATCTCTGGTTGAAATCAGTAGCAGAGAATTATCTCTCTAAAATTGGAATGATTCCTGTCCAGAGACAAATTGCTGGGGACAGTGGACCTATTTTTTTTTAAAGGTAACTAATGTTCACAACTAAAATGTCCCAAAACCTGGGGTAGGCTTGTATTTCCTAATGTCTGGGGGTGACTCACTCATCAGTGAGTGCCCTGCAGTTACAATGGGTTGATATTTGATGTTCTCAGAAGTTGTTACCATGTTGACACTTAAATGGTATTGGACAAGTTGAAAATGGAAAGAGACAGCTTGGATTATTTTGACAGAAGACCACTTCTTAATGTATCATTATTTATTCCCCTTGTAAATTCCCTATGTGGAGTGAGATATCTACTCCAAAAAATGTTTGCAAACATTTGTTCCATTTTCTGTCCTTTTCACTATTGCTTGCTTAAACTTGCATGATCAGATTTCTCTTTGGTTAAACATTTTGACAGTTCCATTTTTGTACAGATGTCTGTATTTCTGTGCCAGTGCAGGCTTGTATGCATGAATAAAACTATACATATATAATTTTTCCTCTTTAGCTTTGGAGCTATTTGATTTTTTTTTAGCTTTAAAATTTTTCACTTTCCCTTCAGGGACTTGATCAGTCAAATGTGGGGGGAGAGTTGAGAAGACCACCATAAAAAATACTGCATGACCTGAGTTTTCTTAGGTAAAGGACGAAAAATCCTGAACAAAACATGAACGAGCAAACCCCTCCCCTTTTAGAAAGACACAGCTAAACTTGGCCACAGTTTATCAGTTCACAGTATTTTAATTAGCTCCACAAGAAAGAGCTTTCTCCACTTGTCGGAAAAGTGTGTTCTGTAATCTAAAGCCCTGTGTCTTTGTCACTCAAATGTTTCTTTATATTGCATTAAATTTACTGCTGTTGCAAAGTTAACTGTTTTGGATCTAAATGCTTCTGAGCATGTATTTTTTTCTTCTTAAATCTGCCCTGTTCCTACTGGTCATTCATGCCCTTCCACTGTGCTAAACTCTTCCTTTCCATGCTTCGTATTTGCTTACAGTTGAAAAATGGCCAAGCTACAGACCCAGGTATAATCTTGCCTCCAGCTTTTGAATACAGATCCAGATCTTAGTGTATAAAGACAAACTTCATTGAACCTGAGATGGAATTCAAAAATCTAAACACTTCAGAAACATTTAGACCTGAATCTGACCTTTACAGCTCAGACCTCACTCCACAAGATCTCATGCAGCTGTTTGCCAATGATTATCAAAGCTTCCTGCTGCAACCTCATCTTTCTTAGTTTTGCTGTCCTCCATGACAGTTCATTCTTTCCCTTTCTTGTTCTTGAAAATCAGTGAAGTTTTCTGAAGTTGTACGCAATGGAAACACTAGATTTTGCCATTTCCAGCAAGAAATTCCTCCATCAGCTCTGTACACTCAGAACCACAAAAGAGTCTTTTATGCTTTGGAATAGTAAGAAACCCCTACCCTACTAAAAATGATGCATGTTTGTTCATGGTTCACTATTCCTTAAAGACCCCGTTTGTTTTTCCCACATATTAATGAACCTTTAAGCTAAATATAACAGGATGTTTTTATGCCTCTTTGGCAAGAACAAAGCAGTACAAAAGTTGTTAGGGGACTTGGGATATTTTCTGGGCTGAAGTTTCTGTGATCCTGAATATCACGGTACAGTAAAAGTCATCACATTATGGAACAAGCAAATACACTCATTAGACTAGACATTTTACATTAAGGTAGTAGTAAAATGAAACCACTGTGGAAATATTCTGGTGTGATTTGTAAATTTAGTCACAATTTAAAGGAAATTCTGTATCATTGCTTGTAGAAAAAAATCAGACTACCTTCAGACATTGTGTATCTTGAGCAGATTAATGAATTTCAGCACACGTAAAAAGCTCTTCCAGAAACCACTCTATTCACTGTCTTACTGTGGCTTCTGTTTTGCAAATAGGGTTCCAAAACCTTATTGCAGATTTGTAGTAGTAATAGTTCATAGTTGGGATGTTGGTCATACCTTTAAATAGTAATAGTTGTTGATGAACAGCCCCTCTGTAGGGTCATAAAAAAGCAGCAGTGAGTAATTATTTGCTGGCTTGTAAAAGTTTTGATCTTTTCCTAAACCTCTTAAATATTGTGAGTCTTTGAATATACTGCCAGGAGTAATACTATTGGTACGTTGGCTGTGACTGTGAAAAGAGATTCAGGGAATGTACAGAATATTTATTTGAAATGTGATAAAGCCCCTGTTTAAGGTTGATACCTCTCCAGTTACAGAATATAACAGAAAAGGAAAAACGTCAAGGCTAGAAGGAAAAAAATACGCACAGAACTGTCAATGCCAAGAGTAAGGAGCATGATGAAGAATACCACGGCCCAAAATGTAGATCCTGAAAGAGTTGAAATTGCCTCTGGGTAGAGAATGAAAACTAAACCAGCTCCTGCAATAGAAAAGAAAGAGAAAAAAAAAGTATTACTAAATGATGTTTTTTAGCTTCACAAAAGTGGTCATTTTCATAAGATAAATTATGACTAAGTTGACTTTTATATCAGACTGAGTAGCTGTTAAAACAAAATTTGTATTATACCAAAAATATATCCAAAATACTTTAATAATATACTCATGACAGTTTTGTATTACAAAAAATCAATCCCATTCTTCTCCACTTCTATTAATCTTCCATGGGATTCACAACTACTACACAGCTACTTCTCAGCTATGTAGTAGAGAAGGACTCCTGTGAATGTGGACTCCACTGTTTGGCAGGAGAACTCTCAGATGCGGTGAAAGATACAGGAATGGAAATCATGGGTGACCTGTTAGTAGTGAAAGGACTCTACAGCTAAGCCTACCAGAACTGTCCAAAACAGTCACCTATGGCACGGAACAGCAATACTTTCGCAAGATACTGTGCAGTGGTAAATGTCTGTCTGTTGCACAGGCAGAACTTGTGAGGGGCAAGATTTTTGGGAACCTCAATTCAGTAGAGGTGAGATGAATCAATACCATTTAGAGTTCACATTTCAGCAAGGCATGTACACACAGAGTTTTACTTCCAGGTAATTTAATTCAGGTCACTTCCGTGAGAATTTCACACACTTGTTTGAAACAAATATAAATGCATTTGCAAAGAAATGGGGGACAAAAAGTGGTAAAACTAGTATAAAATTAACTTCCTACCTTCAGTGGCTACATCCTCAATTTTAACTTTGTGCTCATGAGCCATGTAGCCCAATATGGAGAAAATTGCGAATCCTGAGATGAAGCTTGTGACACAGTTAATGGTACTAGTCAGCAAAGCATCCCTAATGATGGAAAGAAGAACAGCCCAGTGAAAAAAAACCACTTGAAGAATTAGATGGGAATTGTCTTATAGCGATAGGAAGATTCTTGTGAAAATTCTAGTTGTGCAATTATCTTGATGATCAAGAGCTCATATCCACATACTATGCTAGGAAATGACCAACTTCTGTTTACTATTTTGATTTAAAAGAGTTCTGTTAAAACAAAAAATCAACAAAGCTATATTAAATATTAAGATATTAAAGAGTAATGTCATCTTCCTGGTTGGTAGCCATAACATAGCAAGAGAGTGGCCTGAAGTGAAAGAACTTTACTATTCATCAATTCATGTGAGCAGATACTCAGGAATACTTTCAGTGCATTTTTAGCAAGCTGTGCTGCCATTCAGATGGCACTGGGTAACTATCCTTAATCTGTAATGAGGTCCCTTCATCTATGGAGTTGGCTAGGCTTTTCTGAAAAAAACCCTTGTTTATCAGATTGTTACAATAGTGAATTTAGTTTAAAGAGTAAATATTGCACAGTGCACATCGTATAGTAATGACTGTACAAAGTTGTGTTTTTTAATCAATCTGCCATGGTATTACGATAGACGTATGAGTTTTCCTGGGTATTAGTAACCCCTGTTACCAAACCTAGCTTGAAGATAAGTAGACCACATGTCTTTAGATGTCCACCTAATCTGCACAGTGTCTTGTATGTAATCTTTTGCTGCATCTGACCTTTAGAACAGAGGACATGGCTCTGTGAACATCAGTAATGCCAAACAGTGCTTTAACAAGCAGAAAGTAAAGATGATTTCCTTTCATCATTTACACTACCCCAAAACATAGGTGCCATACACCAAATTTCATCCTCTTCCTTATATTACTTTATTTTCATAACATTGAAGAATATGTGTCCTGCAATTCTTCAAGTGTTTTCCTGGGGGAAGGCTGCAGGATCAAGAGAGACCAGATTGGACCCATAAACTCAAATTCTTTCCAGTCATTAAAGAAGAAAATTGCTAGGTATTTGTCACTGGTGAGATGGCAACAGTATTTCCTGTTTCCCACAATTCAAAAACATTCTTATGCAAGTGAATAATGCTTCTTTTTGCTTAGTCAATAACTGGATTATGTGATGCTTATCCTCCTTATAAACGGAGCTGAGCTAGCTCTCAGTATTTTGCATGTAAAACTAGATAATAATTTAATACAAATTCTCATATTTTCTGGCCCTGATTTTCAGTATTGTTACCCTCCCTTACATTACCAACACTATTCCTCCCAAGGAAAGTGTGTTGAAGCATAGATGGGACAGTATAGTGCTGAGTCATGGCCTTCATTTGGAAACAGTACAAATATCAGTTTGTTCTGTTTCAAGAAAGCCTTTTGAACAAAATATGTCAGCCCATTATGGAGTTATTTGACCAAAAGAAGGATACTTTGAAGTGTTGTAAATGCTACTGAATGGAAGCTTGCTTTTGTGGTTAGAACTAAACCACAGTATTTAATGAAACTACAGATTATTCTTACAGGGAAGGCAAGGCTTATGAAGCAACATTGAACAAATATAGTAATAGGAACTAAATAATATTTCACATATAGTCTGTGCTGTTTTCTTAGTTTCAAGAGGACTTTTTCCATTTCAGAGCAAAACTAGAATACAGAAGAAGAACAATTGTATAGGGAGCTGCTATGAGATTAATGCAAAATTATTTGCAGATGATAAATGTTATTTTGGAAGGCTGCTATGGCTACTGTTCTAACTAAAGGGGTCTCAAACTTGGTAATATTACCTAGTGTAAATAATCAGCTGGCAACCTAAAGTCAAACTGGGTTAAGTACAAAGCTTTCTGAAGTCAGTGGAACTATTCCATGATTTTTGCTTTCAATCTGTTTAAGGCAGTTCAAATCTATACATTTTCTTGAACCTTTTCACATAACATTTTTTTGCTATCCTTCAGTTCACAATGTATTTGTAATACATGTACTTTCTGAATTTATATTTCATTGGAAATTTGAAAGCAATGCTTATTTTCATTCCAAAATGGAATGTAAACAAAACTTCTGAATGTTGGAAGTTCTCAGAAGGTGCAGAGCAGTTCTGGTTGAATTTCCATGGCGGCGATTCAGCAAAACACTTACAAACTGACTTGATTTAAAGTGCATTCCTAAATTGGAGCTCAACATAAAAAATCAGAAGTATAATCCCAAAGCACAGAAACAATTCTGGAAACTGGAATCCTTCTGCTTTTAGTTCCTGGACCGATACAATTTCATCCTGTGTTCACTGTTGCTCTTAATGGTACTTTTGAAAGGCAAACACAAGCACAGTTTACACAGCTGTCTGAAGTCCAAGCCTAATCCCATTCTGTTTTGCTGTAGAGCAGATATCTTGGCAGGTTCCTGTTGCTAAAATTTCAGTAAGGAAGACAGTGTTTCAAGATTTGGGTTGGTTGCTATGTCCACACAGAGTGACCATCATTAATAAATGACTGAAGATAAAAAGATAGCTTAGTACTTATTCCAGCTGCAGTTAGTGTAAAAGAGTATCATTCTGAAGCAGTAATGAAAGAATAGGCTGTCTTACCTGTAACAGTTGTTGTCAAACTTATTGTAACTGGCAAATGCAATTAAAACGCCAAACCCGGCTCCTAAGGAGTAAAATATCTGAGTAGCTGCATCAATCCATACCTGCATAACAACACCAACATTGTCAGTGTCAGTTCGGTCCAAAAGATACATCAGGGAAATGCAAGAGTGTACAAGACAACTGGCTTTTGAAAAAGGATCAGCATTCATGCTTATGGGAGTGTAAGTGCTTCTCAGCCCCCATGAGATGTCACATGGAGCACAGTCATGGTCTGGAATGGCTTAACCCAAAATGGTAAGGGCCAAAGCAGCGGGCAAGTTCTCAGTGCACGCACACTGCTACCACAGTGGGGTGTACCACTTGGATCTGTACTTCTGAGCTTTTACTGAGTACTGAAATGATTACATGATTTTTCTCCCGGGTGACAGAAATACACTTCCAATAGTTCTTGTTCCAAGTTAGTTTGGAATGTACAACCAGAAAACTAAAAATAGTTAATGGGTCAAGAGTTACAGGACATTTTCTTTCCCATAAGAGAGCTTTCTTCATGGGACTGTTTAGTACGCTTTATATGATGCTTTCTCGTTTCAGAAGCTGAAGCATGACTGACATGCTGCAAACAGAACCATGCCGGTTGTCTGTCACCTTTCCTACTTAGTTGGAGATGGAGTTATTCCTGTGATAGCCATTAAATTTCAGTTTAGATGCAGCCTGGTCATTTTAAGAGTTGTCCACTAGGGAAAACATGTTTCTAATGCTATAAAATTTTCTAAAGTGACCCTTCACCCCAACATCCACTCAAGATGTGCAGACAGCAGTCAGGAACAATGCCACAGTGCCGGTCTCCTGAATCGGAAGCCTGAAAATAGTCTGCCCTGGTTAATGCAGGTTTCACTTACTCGGTTGTTACACAGAGATATTAAACAAGCAGCTTCAACATGGGTAATGAAGTCAACGGAGTGAATAATACTCAACATTTGTCAAAATGAGATCTTCAGTGTATGATTAAATCTGCCAAGTTCTCAAGACTACAAGAAGCGCTGGATTTCATCTCCATCCATCTCTACAAAATCAGATCCAATGTATCTATTCAGCTGCAGCTTTCTAACAGATCTAAGCAGCTTATGAGGTCCATCTGCATTGGGATTTTAATGCTAAGCTTTCAGATTTGGCCCAGTGGAAAGAAACAGCACGCCTTATCCCATCCTATCATGATCTGTGAAAGCACTTATGCTAGTGATCTGGTTTTTTTCTCAATCTAGATGATAGATGCTTTCCGATACTGCCTGCTGAAGACTGTGAACCATTTATTGAACTCTGTATTTGTAGAGAAACTTAATTTTATGAACTGTTGAGAGTTAATTACTTGAAAGATAATCTGAAGAACACTCTATGATGTTTTTATTGCAAACCAGCGGATAGGTGGATATGATTTTTCTCAAATTGCAGTTCATACAGGGCTTTTAGGTATCATGGATTTCTTTTACTAAATAGCAAAACAATCCTGTAAAATGAATTCCTTCCTCATTCCTTTTATATGCATCTTAAAGTTCTATCTCCACACAAAGGTTGAGATCAAATAGGTTTGTACTCTCTGAAGAGCGTTTCTGTGGATAATAGTGCAGAAGGAGGGATGCAAAGCCTCCTATAGTTTTTCTTGTTTTTTAAAACTTCCCATAACTAGTGTTGTTAACAAAGTTCCAGAGGGTAGTGGTCAACGGCCTGATGTCCATATGGAGACTGGTGACAAGTGGGGTCCCTCAGGG